AAAAAAAAAAAAAAGGGACCAGTTTTGCTGGTCTGATAGAGCCTGGTGGAATCACTGAGACTATGGTCCCTAGCTGCCCTTCAGGTCTTGGAATTGAACCACACCTGTGGCTTCCAGCCCAACAAAAGACAGGCATATGAGGTGAACATTTATACTAGGTAGATACACTCCTTGGGAGCTCTGGTAGCATAGTGCCTATTGCACTGGACTGCTAACCAGAGGGCTGGCGGTTCAAACCTACCAGCAACTCCTCGGAAGGAAGATGGGGCAATCTACTTCCGTAGTGATACTGCCTCGGAAACCCAATGAGGCGTCGCTATGAGTTGGGTCCGACTCGAGGGCACGTAACAACAACAACACATACACTCCTTGGAGACAACAATCATGGGAGAAAGAAGGGCTGTTTATGCATAGGCAGACAGCTCAGGGGGCAGGAGTACATGGAGGGATGGACACAGGGAAGAGGTAACTATCAGGAGGAAGTGGGAGGGGAGCTGTTGCATTGTGGTAAATTGTAGTCGATGTCATGAGACAGTGTATGTGAACTGCTGTATGGAAAGTGAATTTACTCTGTAAACTTTCATCTAAATCACAATTAAAAAATAGTAATAATAATAAAAAAACTACTTGGGAAAAGTAAAAGTGGATCTATACTGCCCTCCTTTTACCAAATATATTCAAAATGGATCAGAGATTTGCTTAAAAAAAGAAACCATAGATAATAGAAGAAAATATGAACAACTGCAAAAAAAATAATTTGGAATTAGGGAAAACTTCTCAAAGTTAAAAGACAAACTAAAGAAATTCTGTTAACTTTGAAGAGAGATTAATATTTTTCAAGGTCTTACAAACAAAAGTAAATATTCCTGAGGGCTGGGTAAGAGGGGGAAAATCAAGACTTAAAGAGACAATTTATAAATAACATAATGAACATTAAACATACTGAAAAAAAATCCAATGTCAGTGATGCTAAAGAAATACAAATAAAAAAATGAGAAATTCACACTGACAAGACTGGTTTTTTAAAACTATCATACTGGCAAAAAATTTAAGATTTACAAAATCTGCTATTAGAAAGGGTGTGGGGAACTGAGCACTCTCATGTACTATTTAAGTGTATCTTTTTGGAAGATAGTAAAAAATGTAAACATGAAAAAATAAAGCTTAAATGTTTCCTCCCAGAAAATCTTTTAATAATTCAACTTAAGAACCACTCATAATTATGATATGCTCAAAGACATTCATCAGGGCAATGTAGATAAAAGCAAATAACTAGAAACAAGCTAAATGTTCCTTAATCAGTCTACTATAAGGAGTAATGTATCATTACAATGGAATAAGCAGTCACTAAAAATGGTAATATAAATCTGTATTTATTAAGAAATCAATTTCACAACAGTTTTGAGTGAAAAGAACAGGTTATAGAGCAGTTGCATATCATATTATCCCTTTTATGCATAACTGTATATACACATCTGAATTTACAGATATGCAGAGAGAGATGCCTAAAAGGGTATTTACCAAAATATGCTATAACAGCAGTCATCTCTGGGAGGTGGGATTTCAAGTGACTTTTTAAAGCATGAGGCATTTTGTCTGAGTATTAGGCATGTGGTATTAGGCATGTGTAGTCTCTATCTGAAGGAGCTCTGGTAGCATAGTGCCTAAGGCACTTGACTGCTAACCAGAAGGCTGGCAGTTCAAATCCACCAGCCACTCCTCAGAAGGAAGGTTGGGCAATCTACTTCCGTAGTGATACTGCCTCGGAAACCCAAGGAGGGGTCACTATGAGTTGGGCCGACTCGACGGCACATAACAACAACAACAACAGTCTCTATCTCCCCACTTTGTAGCAGGGACTGTGTCTTTTTATTCTTTGGATACTCCAATAGTATCTATTGAATGAATTATCCTGTATTTTTCTGAGAGGAAGCAACTACTAAGTTAATTCTCAACAGCTTTCTTATATTTTTGAAGTAAAAATAGCAAACAAAGCTTTTCTTTATTGACCAAATTTTGTTTAAAACAAAAATTTTAAAAATCAAGAATGCTTCTGCCCAATTGAGAAAAAAACCAAAAAGATAAAAAACACAGTCCCTTTCAGTCTGTTTTTTTCTATGTACATATATATATATATGCAGCTTTGCAAAACTGGGATCATACCATGCACACTATCCTGTAACATGCTTTTGGCCCTTAACAATTTATGGTAAACACCTTTATGACAATACACACATTTCCAAATCATCTGCAGTCTTTGATAAATATGGAATGGCTTACTTAATAATTTCCACTGCTAGCATTTTGAAATTGTTTCATATTTTATTACAAATAATGCTACTAGCAAAATTCTTATAGTTAAAACTTATACATAATTTTAATTATTTCCTTAATGTAAATCCCTAGAAGTAGAATTATTAGGGCAACATCTTTATGACTAATGATTTTGATACAAGCTGATTTTTGAGACAGGTCATACCAACAGACATATATACTATCAGGGTAGGATGATATCCCCCTTGACAAATAACAACAAATCATTCAACATATGTTTGTTGTCTACTATGTGCTAAGTAAGGAGCTCTGGTGGCATGGTGCCTAAAGTATTTGACTGCTAACCAGAAGGTTGGTGGTTCAAACCCACCAGCCACTCCATGGAAGGAAGACTGGGCAATCTACTTCCATAAAGATTTACGGTCTTGGAAACCCAAAGGGGGTCACTGTGAATCAGAATCGACTCGATGGCAGTGAGTTTAGTTTTTGGTTTTGGTATAAGTGCTAAGTACTGTGCCAGCTGCTGCTCTCACCAGAACTGAGTATTTGTCTTTTTTTTTTTTCCTGTGCCAATTTAATGAGATAAAAAGGATATCTTGATGTTTATTAAACCTGCTTTTATTAAACAGCTTTGGTAGTGCTGTGGTTAGAGTACTGGGCTACTAACCAAAAGGTCAGTAGTTTGAATTCACCAGCCATTCTGTAGGAGAAAGATGAGGTAGTCTGCTTCTGTAAAGATTTATAGCCTTGGAAACACTATGGGGCAGTAGGCTTGACAGCAGTGGGTTTTTGTTAACTAGTATGGCTAAACATTCTTGTTACTGTTTATACTGTCTTTTATGAATTTTCTGAGCATTTCTTTGCCCGTTTTTTGAAGGTACAATTTTTTTTCTGTTTGTAAGAGTTTTTATTAATTAAAATTATAAAATATTTGTCATAGTTATGCATATTTCCCCTATTCATCTACACGATATAAACTCAGGTTAATAGCACTATTTTTTGATGCTGGGGACAGTGATGAACATGATAAAAACCCTTGTTCTCATGTAGTTTACATTCTAGAATCTCCTGTCACTTGCCTTTTAATTTGGTTTTTAGTATTTTAGGAAGTTTAGGTTTTAAACTGTTATGTAATCAAAACTATTAACCTTTTTTTTATTTTAGGGTTCTGTCTATGTTGTCTTGCTTATGCATTATTTTTTAATAAGAAAAACCTTTAAAAAGTTGGAGTAAAAAAGTTCAAAATCTCCAAAGTCCCAAAGCAACCCAACCCTGATTCAAAAATTGCTTACATCTGTGTCAACCCACTGGCGTACATCCATTGGTGCAGCTGTCATGTCATCTATTTTGTAAACAATGTTGGTTGGTGCCTTTTCTGCATGTCTGATTATCCCCACAATAGTGACCTAGGTCAGAAGAAAAAAGTTTGGTTTTCCTGGAAATCAAAGCAATACATCTTTTTCAAACGAAGTAAGTCTTACTGCATTCTTCATATGACTAAATGATGCTTCCACAAATTCTTTTACATACCTGTGAAATCTCAACATTGCCAATTTTGAACACTTCATCAACCAAAGTGGCAGAAAGCAGCTGGGATATGGTACAGGGTACAATGTGCTGGGATCGGGCTCTCTGAAAACGAAAAAGTATGCACAAATTCAATTGAGAAAAGAATAACTCATTTAACACCTGTCATGGCTGTGCTCAGCTAACTGAATGGTTGGCAGTTTGAACCTACCAGCAGCTTTAACCACCATGTTACCAGAGCTCCTTAAGCACTTATATGTTGTTGGTGTTGTTGTTATATGCTGTCGAGTCGGACCCGACTCATAGCGACCCCTCCTTGGGTTTCCGAGGCAGCATCACTACAGCAGTAAATTGCTCAACCTTCCTTATGAGGAAAGTACTTATATAGCATATATTATACACGATGATATTTGGTCTCAGCAATCTTATGAGGTATTTATGATTACTCCCATTTAACAGGCACAAAACTGAATCCCAAAGTTTAGAAATTTGGCCAAGATACCCTGCAAGTAAAATCTCAGCGCAAGAGAACACACATAGTTGATGTCAGACTGTGTTCCACTCCCTCCACCGTGTTACAATGCCTCACTATATTTAATTCAAAAATGACTATGAATACACTGAGAGTGCAAAATATGCTATTAAATACAACTTCAGAGTTTTACCACAAGACAAATGCATTTGCTGTTTTGAGGTGAACGTGCTAACCTCATTAACTATTCTGATAAATTTCAAAATAAAGCCAAGGAAGCAGTGGATGCAAAATTAGGGGAGATTTTACTTTTAAAACTTAAAACAATTATAGAAAAGAGGGATAATAACCGATAATTATCGAATCAATTCATGTTTAATACCCCTTATACGTCGCACAATTTTTCTCGTAGACGAATTAGGAACTTTGGAACAGGATAAAGTAAAAACTTTCAACCTACCGATTTCTTTTCAACCTGAGTAGGTGTGGGCGATCCAAAGCCCCCCGGGGACTGTGTGTAGCCGCCGGCGCCACCAAAGCTGGAGCTGCTGTAACTTTCAAATCCACCTGTTTTCGACAAGGGTGTGTATTATCTGTACCGCTTTCCAAGCCTCTAAAAATTTCACAACTCCTTTCAGACCTCACCGCTCCCAAACACTCCCACCAGACCTAATCTTCCTCAGCACCTTTCCGTAGCCTCTCCAAAACCCCCAAATACGCCCGCCCCCCCCTCTGGCTCCCGCCTTTCCCCCCACATACACCGCCCCCCCCCCAAGCCTCTCCGACCCCAGGCTCTCCCTTCAGTTAAATCCTCCTCGCGTTTCACTTTCTCTTCCGCCCCACCCATATTTACTATTCCACATCATGGTCGCGAGCCCCCTAGGAGAGAGGCCCAGTACGGTCTGATCCTGTGGTTTCTCGGGACACCTCAGAAGCCAGTGCCTGTCGCAGCGCTATAGATACTTTCCGTTTGCGCCACAAACTCACTCCCGCGAATAACGGAGCCAATTAGCGTCCAGGACGCTTCTCCCTTCAGCCAATCAATGCTAACGAATCCTACGCTTCTTCCTGTTTTCCCGGGCCATGTTTCGGAAACTCCGGAGCTGCTCTTGGGGGTGGGCCGGAAGCCGCAAATCTGCCGAGCTAGCGGAAGCAAAGAGCCGGGAGATGCTGATAGGACGGTGTCTCAAGAAAACAACCAATCAAATGACCATTTCTGCATCCTAGGACGCGTAATCCCATCCCCGCCAAGTGAGTGACACCTTACGTGTTTACCTTAGCTCTTTGCCTTTGTATTCCCGCCAAACTGTCACGAATATTGACCATGTAGCGCTTTAGTAGAATTCCTGCTTTGGCGTCCCTGCCGTGTGGCATTGGCACACCCTAGGGACTCACAGTACCAGCCTCACAGGACCTCGAGGGATTGCTTGTTGTTTTCCAGAAGGAAACAATTTCTGTCCGTATTTAGTCACTCTGTTCCGTGTTCACCTTGGTGTAGATGTATCAAAACCAAAAAAACCTCACTGCCATGGAGTCGGATCTGACTCACAGCGACCTCTCCCTTGGGTTTCCGAGGCAATATCACTATGGAAGTAGATCGTCCAATCTTCCTTTTGAGGAGTGGCTGGTGGGTTTGAAGACACCTCTTAAACGTGATGTCCGTCAAAAGATCTGAGGATAGCGCCTACTACTCTGCTTACTCCCACACAGTCTATACCAGGCTCGACAACAATGTTATAGTCAAGTATTCTTCATACAAGATGGTTGTCTGTGTCCCTCCTGTAGAAAGTGGAACATGTCTGGTTTGCTCTAAGCATTACCAGATTGTTAGATTCCCTCCCCCGCCCCCCGCCTCCATGTTTTTACTTACAAATATTTTTGATGCCTCGTTCCAAGCCCTGTGCTGGATATAGGGATTTAACAGTATTGTAATAGACATGGTCTCTGGGCATTTCTAAAATTGCAGGCTCTGTCTCAAGCATTTTACATTTATTAATTCAATCCTGCAATGTAGGTACTGTTATTAATCCAACATTTTACAAATTAAGAAACTGAGGCATAATCAGGCTAACTTGTGGGAGTCTGCATCCAAAGCCAGCAAATCTGATTCCATCAACCAATATAATTATTATGCCTCTAGAACATCCTAGAACTGGGTCACACACTTAAATGACTGCTAGGGCCAGGCTGTAAAACTGTAAATGTAGTGGACTGGATGAGAGAGAAAGAGAATTCTCATTTTTTACTCCATAGTAAGAAAATACCACACAAATGTAATGATAAATGTTGTTATGTGCCGTGGAGTCAGGCCCGACTCATAGTGACCCCTCCTTGGGTTTCTGAGGTGGTATCACTACGGAAGTAGATTGCCCCATCTTCCTTCCGAGGAGTGGCTGGTGGGTTTGAACCGCCAGCCTTCTAGTTAGCATCAAGTGCCTTAGCCACTATGCTACCAGAGCTCCCAATGATAAATAGTAACTGATATAAAGTATGCATGCCTAGTGTTGCCAGGTGCCCTAAGCTTTTGAGCAGAAGCCGGAAATCTGGAATTGTGTGTGAAAATTGTTGAACTGTTAAGTGTTTGCAAATTAATTAATAATTTTTTAAACATCATATGGGCCAAACAAAAGGGACTTGGGGCCCAGATGTTGCTTGTGAATCATCTCTTTTTTTATATAAAATCTGTAAGCCTCCAAATCATTGCTGAGAATTAAACAAGATACAGCCGAGACCAGAAGCCTGAGGCATACCAAGATGGCATTATCATATTCATCCTAAAGTTGTAGGAAAACAAGGTCCTTACCCCCTGTGGCAAAGAGCCAATGATCACACGTTGAAGAGAGAAAGCAAAAAGTTTATTGAATATCGATCCCCAAGGAGACAGTGAGAATCATTTCTCTAAAGTGTCTGTCTCCCTAAGCTGGGGAATTGTTAGGGTTTTTAAAGGGAATTGGGCTGAGAGGGTAGGAGGCTTTAAGGATTGCTGATAATGTGTCCTTATTGTTAATGGGACAAGTTCTTGTTGCTCAGCGACCTCTCTGCTCTTCTTCTGGTCAGTGATAGAAACTATCCTCGGTCAGGAGTAGTGTCCTTCAGGTTCCTCACACCTGCCTAGAGAGATTAACTCTACAAACCAAACTCTCACTGCTGTCGAGTGGATTCCAACTCATGGCGAGTCCCTCCTTGGGTTTCCGAGGCAGTATCGCTATGGAAGTAGATTGCCCAACCTTCCTTCTGAGGAGTGGCTGATGGGTTTGAACCCCAGCCTTCTGGTTAGGAGTCAAATGCTTTAGACACTATGACACCAGAGCTTGAATATGGGAGTGGGCATCCTCAGGCCTCTCGCTCCACCAGGGATATCTCTGTTTCTCCTTTTTCTTAGTTGCTCTAAGGCTCAGTGTTTCCTTTCTCAGGGTCATCTTGTAGGCTACAGTTCTCAGCTGAAACTAGTGGTGGGAGAGGGTTACGCCTAAAGAATACATAATTGGAAATAGCGAATCTAAAGAACCCAGTGCCTGTGAAAAACAGACTGGCTAAGCTACTTCCTTGAAAGAAAATGATAAAGGAGGGAAAAACAGTGAGTTAGGAGGGAAAAACAGTGAGTTAGTCACTAAGATTAAAGTCTTCTTCAATCATGCCTGTCAGCTTGTGAAGGTTTTGTAGTTTTCAGTGAGTGGTCCCTTCAGCCTTCCATTTCAGCCTTCTTCAAAGTGATGAGAACATGTTTGACAAGTATGAGCATATTTATGGGAATAGTAAAATAAAATGTTAGAAATTAAGACCCTTCTAGGAAATTCAAGATGTGAGGTTAATCTGCCTCTTTTGGGGTTCAACTAGTTAAAAGTTCAGCTGAGCAGCCTGCATGCTTAAAAATAAATCAGAAGTGATGCCAGGATGTCTTAACTTTGGTGCGTCGGCCGGGAAAGGAGGATTCGGATCGAGTGAAGTTGCCACGACAGTAGGAGAGTTTCAGGAACTGGAGCCGGCTGGACTAGATACGTCCTTTGTGTAAGGACACTAGTCCGTCAGGAAAGGCTGGGCACTGGCGGACGCGCCGGGTGAGCGGGGGAAGGTGCCCTTCCTCAGCTCACA